CTGGGGACTTCATGGAAGCATCTGCAGTGTAGAAAGGGATTATCGCCAGTACCAACAAAGTTCCCAGCTTAATCCTCACCAGTTCCCTACTAAACAAATGAAATCTCAAACGAGTATCATACATTTTGTTGGATGGCTTGCATGGTGGTTCAGTGGATTGAATTGTTCCAGTAAGAAGGTTCTGGGTTCGATTCCCATCTCTGAGTCTTTCTGGCAAATCTGTCCAGGATGTATCCCGCCTATCCTCCATAGACTGCTGGAAATAGGCAGTCCCCACTGCGATCCTCATGGATGTATGGATGAAAATTTTGTTGTTTACACCAACTCAAAATGCACATACAATAGGCATACACACAAAAAAACACAGATAAAGGAAAAGTCAGCTTTATACAGAACATGTAAAAAAAACTCAGTTGCCCACGAATGGACATTATGAACTACGGTACAACCTATGGATAGAAAAGGGCCTGATGGTAAACTGATAAAAAACTGCAGTCCACTTTCAGGAAAATCAAATAAGGTTTTACCATAGCAATTTTTCACAGCCAAGTTATTTACTTTCACACGTCCATGAGGTGTTAAAGTGCAGATCAGGGAATAAGGAGGTGCAGAAAAACAATGCATAGGCTGTAAAATCTGCATGATGAATAAAATAAGGGAACAAAAGTTTCATTTTATTCAGTGATGACCCAGTTCACCTCACACGGCCCTACATTTCTGCATTTTGTAATTGGGTGTTTTAAACAAGCCAAGCGATAAGGGCTGTCTCAGACAAATTGCATTTTTACCCTCTCTAACCTCACATTGGACGTGCCATTTCGACAAGAAAAAGTTGAATATTTTATCTTTCTCCACCCCACACATATGCATGTTGTTTTATACTTCTTGTTTTAAAAGTATGTGATTTTATTTTATTTTTTTAGTGGGAAAGCAGTGTGGTGGTACAGTCAACGTATTTATTTTTAATGATCACTATTAAGGGAAAAATCTCCTTTCTGAACTTTTGTGTTTAACTATTAATTGCATATTTGGAAATAATTCTTTAGTGTATGTCCTCTTTTTAGCTATATTAAAAAAGATCAATGATGTTTTGTTTTAAGGTTTTAACTTGCAAAATATAATCAGAAGAATATAGGTCATTTTTAATGTATTTAATACTTAATGCCCAAACTAAAAGCTTAAAAGAGCGATGATTTTCTTTCTATAATAAATGACTTTTTCCATTCTTTATTTTTAAACAATATATGTGAACTCTTTAGTTTATATCATCGACATCCCTATGGTTATATAAGCCTACTTTTTCACTTTTAGACTTAATGCTGGAACCAGGCTGGCCCAGCTCTGGCTCTGGTTGCAGAAACGACCCACGAGGAAAAAAAAAGCTCTGTCTCTTTTTTCTTACTTCCATGGCAAAACTTGGTATCCGTGCACAAAACAATCCTTATAATGCAATAGCCCCTATGTTTCCTCTTGCTTCTGTTTCACTGTGTTGATTTTATGAGTCAAGTCAACATCAGTTCATGAGTTGACTTTTCCTATTTGGCATGTGAAATCCAGGAGTTTAAATCAGAAGCCACTGCAGTCAAATGTTCTTGTTGCAAAATCATTCCATTAAGCTGCACGGCCTTTGTACCTGCAGCCACATTGCGCACTCTGTTATTTCTGCATCTCATATAGCCATCCATTTGTCCATTGTCCAAACCAGCTTAATGTGAAAAGATTTGTGATATCTATATTGGTCGTTGTTCAAAGGGAGGGATATACCCAAAACAAGAATCTAGTCTAACACTGAGCATGATAGGTTTTATAGATGACATAAATAAGTCTTGTTTAATGTCCAGTAACATGCAGTCAAATTCAATACATTCTCTGTTTTTTTTGTTTTTTTTTGGCACAAAAGCCACAATTTTTCTTTAAGCATTTTTGTTTCAGGTATCAATGTATTAGAGCTCTGTGGTGCTTTCAAACTAACAGCAGCTCTGAAGTTTTTACTGATACCACTCTGGTTAATCTAAAAGTTTTTCAAGTGAGGGAATTTTGAGTTCTCACAAACCTCCAAAGTAACTTATGACCCACTTTTTCAATCAAAATATTGTTTGGTTCCCGACTAGGCTTTAAAGTAAAACAGAAAACCTGAAACTGCTTCAGTGTTTGTTGAAAGACTTCAATAACCATCAAAACATGAAAAGCTAAAGGTGTTGCTGGGGTATGTTTATTAGATTAGTCAAAAGCATTTTTATGTTTTTGGAGGTTAAGGAAGCAGCATCCTATAAGCCCTTTATCTAACACCTCCATCTAGTCTTACACCTCTTAATAGGCAGAAGATGTTTCATCCTGTCAGAATCATCTGACACATGTGCAATCTTCTGTTTGTGTCTCCTTCCAAGCAGTTTTATCAGTTAGATCTCTCCTTATGGTCCATCGAACATTATGGTTTTGGTTTTTCTTTCCTTACACATTTTATGGTCCCGTCATGAGGGAGCATTATAGATATAAAATATATACCAATTAGAGGTAGATAGCAAGGGGTTAAATTTAATCAGTTACATTGATTTGAATATTTTTTCTAGATAAATATATATTTTAGGAGTAATACAGTGTATTCAGACATTTAATGGAGTGATAGAGTGTACTAAGACATTTCTGGTTAGTGTAACCCATCAATTGTAACTTTACTAAATTAAGACAAAAATTGTTTTTGAACAAAAATGTAGCAGATTAACACGCACCTACAGTTAAAGTCAGACTTTTTCGTGCACTTATGCTTAATTTAATATTCTTTTCTTTCTGCTTATTGGAGGTCAACTAAATATACAGTAAAAAGAAAAAACATCTTCTTACCTCTTCTTAACTTACTCTATTCGAATTAATATATATATATATAATATGTAGTACATAGCTACTGACCTAATACATTTTCTAATACAAAATACAAAGTATATTAAAAATACTAAGGTAAATAGAGAGACAGACAGATAGATAACTTTTATTAATTGTACTATTTTATTGCAACTGTTTTCAAAAAATTTATATGGACATAAAAACAAAGAAACTGACAAATACTGTATTGTTGTTCATTTCAAGATGGGGGCATCACTTAGAGTTGTGCTCAGGGGTTACGTGGAAGGCACCACATCTGATCTTACCTTTCATTTGTAATTATGTCAGGTGTTTGCAATGCCAGGTTTCCCTTAGATTTGCTAGTGCTAGCTTGCAGAGTCTAACTTTAATCCCCATACTGTATGTAGTAAGGAGGAAGTGAGCTCTGAGCATATATTTCCTCTGCTTTTCCTCACACCTACACCTACACGAGTGAAAGCATTTTTATGCCAAACACAATTTGTTTCTTTTAAAGGATGGTTAAATTTCTATTTTTTTCTTTTTCTCAAGAAATAGAAGGCTGTAAAAGGGATGCAAGTATAAGTCCCGGTACACTCTGCACACTGAAAAAATACTTTTGGGACACTGAGCAGTAAAATAAAAAAAATGAAGGGCCACCCAAAGCACTGCTAAGCATTTTTATATATTTTAATTTTAACTTGATTAGTTCAGCAATTTTTGTCTCATGGTAATCTTAGTGCCATTCTTGTAATGTTGGATGGTGGCTATCATGACAGAATTTTCTATTGGTTCCAACTGTACGTGCAGATGCATGGCTTTTTTCTGTGGTACATTTCTTTCTTTCTTTTTCTTTAACTACCGTCCCTGTTTCCATAGCGTTATAAATAATTTCACGTTTTTATATTTATTTATTTATTTTTTTTTTTTGTAGAAAAAAACATACTAGTATAATGATTATGAAAGCTATAATGCTCCAGTTATGGAAGTAAATCTTTGAGGCTTCTCTTTCACTCTAAAAAATGTGTTGAGTATGACCATTCTTTAATCCCTCCAGTGATCCCCATAGTTAGTCCTGCCTTTCAGGGTTTTTTTGGGAAAGAACAATTTGGTAGCATATTTCTATTTTGAGATGAGAACAGGAACAAGCTGGTCCAGGGTTCCAGGAGTTCACAGAGAGTTCAGGTAGAACGGTCAGATGGGAACAGGCAAGCTCAGTAGTTGAGAGGCGGATCAGGTCAGGATAACAGGAACACTACGAAACACTAAAACCGCTCTCTCCACTGAGCCAAGACAGAAACAGGGCACGCTGACTGGATAAGAGGCAGAACATAATAAGAAAAACAGGAACACACTGCGGAACAATAAAAACTCTTTAACTACTGGCCCCCGAGAACATGAACTAAAGCATTAGCAATGATCTCGACCTCAACATCAGTGATCTGGCCCTGATAGCTGGGACTGAGATGTATATAAAGAAGAAGAAGCAGTCGACTTAGATTATTTGGTAATTGTAAACCAAGCAGAGTTAGACAGGTGAATGAAATTAGCAATTAAGCCAGCTCTCAGAGCCATGATCATGACAAAAACTGTAAAAACTCCTGATTTTAGCAGGTGGACACAATTGCTCCTATGCAGTTTAACAGTTGTACCAAATTGTTGCCCCTCCTAGTTGTGATTTGTCATATCTACAGTAATCTGCATTTGGGAAGAAATTTAAAGGATTCCACAACCTAGTATAACCCTTCTCAAATATTTATTTATAGAAATGTATAACTTTTGATTTGATAAATGCTGCATAATTTTTTATTTTTTATTTTGGCGGTTCCCCTCTACACATTTATAATACATCTTGTGTGACCTGAAAGTGTACCTAGAGACTGTTAAAATATGTTTAATTTAATCACTGAAAGCCACGATTTGAAGAAACTTAAATTTGCTGATATCATTGACAGCTAACAGCGCACTAATGCTCAACCCATTTTGGACACCTGACAAAAAGTCAGATTATCATGCTCGCTAAATTGAGTGGATTTTATGTAAAAACTGAATGACTGTAATTTCCACACATACAGAGAATAAATTTTTGTAGCTGTTGCTTGTTTTTGTGAAAGTATAATTCTTCTTCTCAAAATTAAAGTATATATTTGTTTGTCTTGCAGCAATCGTAGTTCTCTTTGTGACACTGAAGCGCAGCAAGAAGGAACCCCTTATCATTGCAGAAGAGGATATTAGGGAGAATGTGGTGACCTATGATGATGAGGGTGGAGGAGAGGAGGATACCGAAGCCTTTGACATCATTGCTTTGAGAAATCCAGAAGCTGCCGAGGAGCTCAAGTTTCGACGGGACATTCGCCCAGATGCAAGGAATCATTGTGGCATTCCCCACGTCCGCAGGAGCCCATCAGTTGAGCTGGACGAGGTGGATGTGCATGAATTTATCAAGCAGAGACTAGTGGAGGCCGACATGGACACCAGCGTGCCACCCTATGATTCCCTCCAGACCTATGCTTATGAGGGGCAGGGCTCATCAACAGGATCCATAAGTCCATTGGACTCTGCCGGTGCACAGTCCGAGCAGGAATATACCTACCTGGAAGACTGGGGACCTGAGTTCCAGAGACTAGCAGAACTCTATGAAGAGGCAGAGTCTGATGTGACCACTTAGTCTGTGATTTCACTCTTCTTCAAACCAAATCTGTTTCAGTCCCTTTCTTTTCAGATTTCAAAGAATAAAATGAACACAGACAGTCTCAGTGATCCTCAACTCTTATTGGTGAACTAAGGCGACTGCTTTCTTTTTGTTTGTCAGTTTGTTTGTTTGTTTGTTTTCATTTTGTCACACTGAATCATGGTTTATTTGTCTGGAATTGTCAAATTTTAAAACTGAGAGAAGATAAAATATGAGGAAAAAGGAAAATTTGGATATTTTCCTTGGTGTATATTTTTTATTGCTCAATAAAGTCCAGAAATCCAAAGTGGATATGTGAAAATCTTGTAAATTTGTCTTATTTCCCCAAGTTCATCATGTGGCATTGATATAAAAAGCATCATCTAATCACACTATGAAGGTTTGCATTGAGGTTAAAAACATGTGTGCTTGGTTTTTTGTTGTACTTTAACTTAGACTTTAATTATATTTAAAATGAGAAGTTTTCTTTAACTCATTGGGTTAAGACATAAATGCAGGCTAAAATGTATTCATGCACCCTCACAAATATTTAAACACATCAGCTCTAAGTTTTATTTCAACCAAATGGTTTTTTATCTGTTATCCAGCTTCTTTTGGGTTAACCCATTTTTTATACTTGGACTAGGCCATTTTTATATCAAGCCATACATTTTTAACAACGTCAGGGCCTTTGAATGTCAGTATACCAGCCTGCATGATGCTGCTATTTATTACATTGAATGTTTTGTTTATTTTTATTTTGTGCCAATTCACAAATATCAGCTGAAGGCACTTTACCAAGAAAAGGAACACTGCCAGTATCAGGGAGAGAAGTCAATAACCATTTCTTTATTTTTTTATTTTTTTTTAGGTTTGACAGTGGTTCTAGTGTTTTTAGGTGTAAAACACTCACCATGTGTCTTTAAAAAAAAACTAATGCAACTCATTGTTGACAAATAGTTCAATCCTTCATTTCTCTCACATATTTTTTATTTTCAGGGGGGAGGGGATTTGTTTTGTCTGTGTGCCCAGTTGCATCTTTGACTGTGGAAGAAACCATTGCTAAAGGAATTTAAAATTTCAATTATTGGTCATTATCATCTGAGAATAATGTAGGTCTTGTTATTAGTTTTCTAAGATGATTACCAATTTATTTAAAAATAATACTGTGTAAGATTTTTTGGGCCGATTTTTAGGTAATGCAAGAATTTCTGGTATCGGGCTGAATTTCAGCTTCACTGTGGAATCCGTGGACTGGCGACCTGTCCATGATGTACCCCGCCTCTCGCCTGTAGACAGCTGGAGATGGGTACCAGCACCCCTCACGATCCCGCTTGGGATAAAGCGTTTCAGAAAATGGATGGATGGATGTGAAATCCGTAGTATAGAGGGGTAACAAGAAGCGATTAGCCGTTTCCCAACAACCTCCCAATCAGGAATCGTATGGTTGGATTAAAATCAATGATGTCTGAAATTCAATCGACATTTGGAGTTGATTGTGAGTGTATTCTACTGTTGAAGCAGAGCTGAGTGAGTATGAGCTGATTTACTTCAACTTCGCAAATTGCACATGTGCAAACAGGGGAATTCTTCTTCTCTGACTTTACTTCGGGATAGATGAGTCAGACCAACTGTATCTCTCTACAGTGCTGTGCCCAATATGTTGTTATTGGTCATATATTGTAATATGTCAGATGGCATCAGAGCGTCATAGCTAGACCCTATGATATGCCCTTTGATTGAAAATTGAATCCAATTAAGTGTCATTGAAACAAAAATAGTAAAAATATTCAAAAGCACGATTCAGATAACATAAGGTATGCTAAGATTACGTTTCTAGGATGATGGAATGCTTGCCCTATTACACATTTTCACACTATTATATAAAAAAACAAAAAACAGAACTGGGACCAGAAACCAGCATATTTATTAATTTATATTTCTGACTTCAAACTGGCCAATCATCTATGATGGCTATTTGCAGCCTAAAGAAACTAATTTGTAAATATGAAAGTAAAGCTGTTGGTTCCATTACAAAGCAACCTATCAACATAAAAATATACATAAACCTGCTTTCCAATATTGTTATATGTCTATAGCTCAGTTTAAACAAATAAAGTTAACCCTGAAGAGAGTGATAAGTCTACATAATTGTTTGTGTTTTAAAGTAGGAAGGTTGTCAGTGACACTAAGGTAAGATGGACTGCCAAGGCAGTTTGCAGTTTACATTTCATAATATGTTTTTTTTTTTTTTCTATTTCTTCTGAGGTCTTGTGTAATAGGTTATAATATGATTCAACAAAAGCTTGAAAGTGTAAAATATTTTTCTAGTTTTTCCATCTCTGACAAAGTTCCATGCTCAGGAAATGTCACTTTTCACCGTCTAATCTTGATCAAATAAGGAGAAGTAGAAATTCAAATGTTTTGAGATGGCTTGAACTACTGTATTAGATAAAGCAGTCACAGTAGCTAAAATTAATGTTGGTTTTGGTATTTGGGATGTCTTTACAAATTACAACAATTATTTGAAAGAAAAAACCTACAACAAAAACCTTTGATTTTATTCTCAGAGTCATTTACATAACATTTCAATTTAAGTTTTATTTCCTGTTCCCTTTTTTATATTGCATTTCAGTATTTCAGTATCCTTTGGCTCTAACTATGTAGAATTATTTGCATACACTTGGGTTTAAATACCAAATGTGTGTAAATGAATGTTAAAGTAAAATTCATTGAGATTACAAATATAAAATGGAAAATAAAAGAACATATGCAACCTTTCGAAAGTAAGATAAACTTCCAGGAAATTTTGTTTGTGTTTTTTTTTTTACCCAGTTTCAAAAAAGACATCTTCACACATGGTAGATGGATTATAGTAATTCTGCAGTATTTGTTACTGGATCTTTGCAAAGCTATAACAGTCCCATGAGAAAGAGGTTGGATTTCTTTATACTTTTGAGAAAACAGGAGGAACTCTGCAGCCCTTCTGTTCTTTGGGAATGAAAAATCACTTCATGCTTTAGAATTCCAAGTAAGGGGGGAAAAAAGTTTTAGGAAAAGATTAACTAGACTGTTCAAGTCAAAAATGTTAACTTTGGTTTCATTTTGTGTTCTGAAAAGTTTTTAAAAATGTCAGAATGAGCATTTCTTTACCATTTCTTATCTTAATGGATGACAAATTAAAAAAAAGAATTTGAACTTATTAGAATTGTATCTTACCCTCACTTAATTGCTCTATGTCTTTTTTCCCTTACTCTAATGTAGTTTTATTTGCTTTCATTTTTTGTTAATTTATTTGCATAATATTCATTTCAAAGGATGCTAAATATTTATAGCCTCTATCTTATTTAGTATGTAATCATTACTGTGATAGTTCATAGCCTCAGTCTTTGGCTTTTTACTTGTTATTTCCCACAGCTCACACTGTTGGACTGAAATAGGGAGGCAGGCTGTAAAATCTCACCAGCAGTTGTTTTCGGGCCTGAGGCTGGCCCAAGGCAAAGGTCATATAAGTTAGCCAACGGCATGCATGGAAGTTCCCAAAACTCACAATTAGTGGTTGTTTCTTCATTTAGTTTTCTGTTAAAACTATATAATTTAAACTTTAAAAATGGTTTGAATTAAAGGCAAAATAATTGAAGGATGAGACTAATGCATTAGCTAATGTCTAGCATTGTTTTATTTTAACATCCTGTTCACACTATCACTTTTTTCACGTTGTGGTTGCTTGCCGAAGGTAGCAAAGCCTGCAATACTAGGGCTCACTGATGTCATCTAAGTCAAGATGCATTTCTTAAGGCAACATGTGTACCTGTGTCTGCTGTGGAGAACTGTTTTTACACAAGCAAGAACTAGAAGTATTTTTTATATCTCTGAAAGTCCGTCCGTCCACCCATCCCTCCATCTATCCGTCCGTCCATCCATATATCCTCTGGATAAATAACTTCAAATAGATGATTTTGTAGCGCAATCAACTAATTTATGATGACATTTTGTGTCATTTGAATATTCAATATTGAATATTCAATTTAAGAGAAACAAATCTGACCCATTTTTAATAGTATTTTGTCTACCCAATAGGCCTTTTCGTCATTTTGTCACCAATCAACATCAGTTTTGATTTATTATCATTTTTCAGTCAAGTATAAATATGGTAGAAAACAAAATTTTCAAAAGCACAAATTGGTTAACAGATATTTTTTGTCTATGAGAGGCAGGGGTATTCTCCATGCAATGACTTCCATGCATGAAGCTTACAGCCTCACAGCTGTATCTGAGAAATGTATGTAATTAACATGAAAGTCGTGTAAAGCTTCCAGAAAGCTTAACTTAGCTCATTTAAAAAAACAAAGTCAAATTGGAGATACATGTGAGACAAAAACCATAAGAAGTTTAACTAAATAAAAAATGACATTTTGACAAAAAACAATTTTTTTAGGGCAACAATCCATCGCAGCTTTCCCTATATTTCTGAGATAGGACAAGGATAATGCCTCACAAGCAGAATTATAATATGTGTTGTGGAAACAGCTCCCTGGGTTTTATCAGTCTGCAGAAGAAGCTCAGTGGATTATTTGAGTGAATAACAGTCCCAATGCTAGTGCTGATGGTTTTCATGATGTTTTACTGCTTCCTTCTCCCCTAACTCCCTCTTATCTTGTGAAATTGCAGTGTGTGGCATATCAGTGGATTCTGTTTACAGGACGGAGGTTTGCATACCAAAACAGCTTTAATTGCAGCTTGCATATCAGGTCAAGGAAGAATGTGTTTTCATTTACATATCTGAGAGATGCTGTGTGTATTTTTGTCTTTGTTTTCGTTTCTTTATTTTGAAGCAGTTGCAAGACCTCAGGCCCAGCGTATCCATGCTGGTCGAGATGCTTTAAATAGAGTTTGACGTCAAGGGCTTCTGAAAAGGTTTGTTAAATCACACCCTACATGAAAGCTTCAGAAGAGAATTTTGCATTTTATAAATCTTCATGACTCTGCACTTGGAGTAATGTAGGTGATCTGGAAACAAACAAGATCAAAGCAACTTAAAATTGTGTGTGATTATAACCTGTTTTACCTGAAAGTTTGAGCAGCAGGGGTCTGTATGCCGTTTGAAACTAAAATGGGTTATCTTGATAAATACACCCAATTATTGAATTTTATTAATTTTCATTGCCATAAATATGATGATTTCTTAATTAGAATTTGAAATTTTAATACTTTCCCACTGCTAGGCCATAGATATTCCAATAAAAAGACTGAATTAACCCTAAAAGGACATGAAAGGATTAAAAGAAGCAT